TACACCACCGGCGCCGGCTTCTGACGTTTTCGGATTAATCATACAATTCAGTGCCAACATTTCAAAGGGGCGTAATTGCATTTGTAAACAATGGCTTTAGCCATAGATTTCTCGCAAATAAAAGCTCACTCATGAAAAATAATAACACCACCAGGTAGAGGAATGTTTCCTCTAGAAGCTAGCATTATAATTTTGGAGAGGTAAAATATCATTCGCGAGAAATTGACGGCTAAAGTCATTGTTTACAAAAGCAATTACGCCCCTTTGAAATGTTGACACTGAATTCTTGGAATACCCCGCTGCAAATTTGCTTAAGTTAATTGGATTATTCTGAAGCTATCTGATCGTCCTCGAAGTACTCGGAACTTCGCTTAATATCATGAAACTATCTAAAAATAGATTAATTTATTAGAAGTTCTCTGGAACGTCTTGAAGATATCGCTGCTTGCTAAAAGTTCTAGCATTTTTTTTTTAATAATGGAATTCCGTTAATGTTGAACTCAGCTAAATTTTCGCATTTTTTTTCTTTCATTTTCTTGAAATCTCCATGATATAACACCCTTACTCTCACGTTTCCCGGATGTTCATATAATTTTTATCTCGTTCCAGAAATTCTCTCGGAGCTTTGCTGAAGTTTCCGAAAATTCCCTGTGTTTCTCGAAACTTCTTTAAGGTTTCGACAATTTTCATGAAATTATTTGAACTGTTCTTCGACTCTCTGATCTGTCTTGATGTTCTCGATGCTTCCATAAAGCTCTCAATTCTATTGAAGACCGCGGTTCTGTTCGGAAATAAATTGAATTCCCGTAAACACCTTCAAATCTGGACTTCTGTGAAGTTCCTGAAATATTTTTGAAGTTTTCATAAATTCTTTGAAGGTCTCTGTACTTCCCTGAAATTCTCGGAACAAGGAAAGGGCAGAACCGCTTTGAGGTTCTTAGCTTTCAGTAGGTTCCCCATATTTTTAGCGCGTTAACTTCCCTTATGTTCCCACAGTTTGTTTATGGAGCTGCACTGAAATTCTCAGCATTTCCTTTCATTCCTCAGAACTTCTCCAAAGTTCTTACAATTGTTGTGAAGTTAATGGTAAGTATTTCATCTTTATTAAAGTGAGAAATTGTGTTGTGTTGAACTTCAACATTCAATGCATCTGATTGTAAAGCTGTTTCTTTAAAACTGATTGCCATGTCTTAAAACATTTGGATTATTTGCTGTTGTTTTTGATCTACCAAAAAAAAGCATAATTTTAACGCATTTAAAAAAAAGCTTTCTTATTATAAGCTTGGAATTTACCGGTTTAAGTTCAGGAAAACGCAGGTAATTTTTTATTTAGAAAGATGAGTAGACACCCTGTAGATAGAGAAGGACTATTAAACGTCACAAAGCAAAGAATGATCAATCTTGAAATAAATTCACGCTAAAAAATTTGAAAATAGTGGCTGATTACAAGAAAAAGTTACATCAGGGACTTGGCCTTAAAAAAGGAGACTTTGACTCGCTACCAGCCCTGGAAGTTAGAGAAAATGGTAAAATACCTTCTAAGGTAATTGGAACTAGCTTCCACGGAAAGTTGAAAGATGCTTCGGAGAAAAATTGGAAGAACCTTCAGGGATAATATGAAAAGAGAAAACATCCAATAGCAGTTGCAATACATTTATAGACAAATCTAGAATAATCTTCTGGCTCCGAGAAAAATCAGAAGAAACCCGAAAAAACTTCATGGAGTAGTTGAAATTTGTTTTTAAGTAATTAAAAAAAAAACAAAGAAGTCGAAAGAAACTTCTATGTTCTTAATAATGACTATCAAAAATGTAACTCAAGACGAAAAAATCATCTTTCAAGCATTTACTCTAATGAGGTTCAAATAGGGGAAATGTTGGCTTCGGCAATACTTTAACCTATTATCGTGAAGGGGTAGACAACGTCCTTGAGAGCTCAATTTCTTCGTATCTCAAGCTTATTGCTTATCGCATATTAGCTTATTGCGTGCTCTCAACTTAGTGTTCTAGATGCACTTCCACAGTTATTGAGAGCTTTCAATGCCCGTACCATTTTTGCATTCATATAATTGTGTGGCAAGTACTATCAAGTTGAGATATTTTACAACCCGAAAAATTCCTAGACCGGACCGGGAATCGAACCCAGCCACCTCCAGCTTGGTCTTGCTTTGTAGCTGCGCCTTTACCGACTGTGCTAAGGGAGGTCCCAACCCAGAAGTTTGATATTTGATAGACCCAACTAGATCTTCCCAGAGCCACCAATCCACTTGATGGTTAATTTTGTTGAACCCAACTAGGTTTAATATCTTTTAAAAGACACACTAACCCACTTGTAGGTTAAGTTTTAATACAACCAACAACGTCTAGGGTTTCCCAACCGGTGGTCCGCGGCTGACAGGTGGGCCGCAAGGGTCTTGGTTGATAGGTCTAAAAAAATGCCAAAAGTGACAAAATCATGGCTAAAATCAAAACATTTTTTGAATCAGGTGGCTTACAGTGGGAAAAAGTAAGTGGAGTTAATACCGATGGCGCTCTAGCAATGCTGGGTAACAAATCAAGGGTTCAGAAAAAGATTATAGAGCTTGCTCCATACGCCACAGGTGTTCGATATGCCCTTGTCAACAAGAACAAGACTCTGCCGGAACTAATGTTAAAAGTACTTGATTCTGTAATCACAACTTTTTAACTATGTCAAATTTGGAGCTCTGAACACTCGTTTATTCGAAGAACTCTACAAGCAAATTAATTCAGATAACGTGGTTCTTCTTTTCTACACTGTTGTGCGCTGGTTGTCCAAAGGCAATGTTCTCAACCGTGCCTTTGAATTGAAGGAAGAAATCAAAATGTTCTTTGGAGTTCAAGTGAAAAATGAGTTCATTGCTAATTTTAGTGTGGAAGGTTGGCATAAGCGTCTCGCTTGTTCAATAAATGTTAGTGCATCACATCTGGACTTCTACGGGGCAATTAAGTTTTTTTAATACTTTATTATAGAGATTTTTAGCCGATGGCTAGCAAACACATCTAATTCACTTCCAAGACGATCTTCAAGCATTCAAGCAAAACTGGCTCCGAAAGGTAGGTATTTGGAAATGTTGCCATGTTTCATAGACTCTGAAGTATGACGGACAAAAGAGCGAACGACCTAAATTCGGATCTTTAATCAGAAATTATTGCTCATTTTCACTCACTGTAAGGTTTTTGATCTAATTTCCGTCCTACTAAGCACAACCCGCGCTTTACCTCCTTTTATTGAACGGGTTTGAACAAAAAATTGAAAATGTCTCTCAAAGGTGACTTCTAAATTTATTCACCTTTCCAAACGTATTGTTGGATTTGACAAAGAGTCACAAATTGTTGAGATATTGTTTAAAATATAATACTGCTTCTTGATTCTAAATTCGGTCTACGAGTTTCAATTCCGTTCTAATGCATTGAAATGCCGTTAGATTTTCTTCGTCCTACGGATAAACACTAGGAGCGCTTCTTTTGTTTTGAGAACAATGAGCGTAAATATTCATACAATGCGCTATAATATGATTTACGCTGTAGCTAATAAACTAACTAATCTGAACAAACCTATTATTGATTTGTGCATGGTGACATCATTGATATTATTGATCTTTTCTGATCGATAGAACGGAAATGGGCGATTGTGACGAAGTAGTCCTCTACCCTATTATCAATGTGAGCTGAGATACAAGAAGATGCTGATGTAGTCCGCAATCCGTTTTCTTCATCAATGGACGTTGAAGTCTTGATGAAACACAGGATGAATATTTGGATCTGAGAAATGATTCCTCATCTCGTGATTTGTGCCTTGAAAAAGATTTGAACCAGTGGTTCTGGGGTGCCATGTCGTATCCCAAAGTCTCCTAGCAGATATTGAAGATCCTTGTCCCATTTGCATCTTTATACGTACGTAAGAGAGCGGATGTTCAACTCTTCTCCACATTAAAACCATGACAAGAAACAGATTGAACGTTGACGATATGAGATTGGCATGATCACAAACGCAGCATCGTAACTAGATTTGAGATCTACAACAATCTCCCTGAACGGTTGGCTGCTGTTAACATAGTATTTTGAAATAAAACGAATCAAATGAGATCAAATGAATGGTTTTTATTCATCTCAGCGTAATTTATACAAGGTACTTTTCAGGGGGCCGCGGAACGCCCAATTGTTCACAAAGGGGGTCGCGGAGCTGAAAAGGTTGGGAACCACAAGTCTAGCGTCTTATCAAAGACTCAACTATATTTTACTGACCCTCTGCATCTCACTTCAACTCAGGAACGTGCCAGTCCAGTGTGAGTTCGATTTTTATTGATAATCTAGGCCCAAAACATCACCAACCAATTATACTTTATGATACTAGTGAGATCAATCATACTTTTAAGTAATGAGAAAGAATTAAGAAATATTGAGATTCCCTGATTTTCCAGGACCACAATTGAATTTCCTGAAAATCACTGATTTTAAAGGTCACAAAGTCGGTACTACGGCCATTTCCAACCCGAACGATTTCCTTGACCGAACCGGGAATCTAATCCGCAGCCTCCGGCATGGTAATACCGTGCATTTACAGACTATGGGGCTATTCATAAACTACGTAGATGTTGGAGACGAACCAGCCTCAGGCTGAAAGCCTCCTAAATAAAGATAAATCAATAAATCAATCGCCCATACAAATTTACAAAAAAATGGTATCAACGGTTGACCCTCGCCAACCCCCACCCCTAAAATGTGTTGTGAACAGTCCCCTATGTTATATGAGGCCCCCAAAATCCACCTGATACCTGGTCAATGAAGGTTCAATAACATACTGGAGGTGGCACGTTCGATTTAGCCAAGAAGACGAGAAGGATGCTACCCTTGGAATGACCCATTCAGACCTTGAAAAGTTCAACATATTGCTACATGGTTTGACTAAGCCCAAGATTCTACCATGACCCAATATTGACACCGTCTTATTCATGCATAAACGACGTCATCTTTACATACCCGTGTGCACGAAATTGGTAGGGTTCCCGATCATTGACCGATCTATCCGCAGCCGCTGGTGATGTCGCCGTCGTCGCGGGCTCTGCGGTTGGTGGAAGCAGCAGGAGAACCACTGTAGCCAGATATCGCCAGTACTGGCCATTTTACCGCTTTTCAGTTTCTTCTCCACTATGAACCGACTGTAGGTGACCGGGGGTGATTTCAATAAGGAAGACTCGGCGTCCGCGTAATTAAACGGTGGACGCGGTTGGGCTGCTTTCGCACGGAAGATGAATGACTTTGTTTTATTCCTTTTGTTTGGTGGTGTACTTATGGCGATGAGACTCTGAGCAGGGCACGTCTGTAACAAAGGTAAAACAAGACCAGATTAGTATTGAAATGAGCTGAGAATTGTTTTAATTTTATGATCGAATTGTTTGCGAGTAGGTAGGTATGTTTGGAAGACGACTTCCGACTGAGTGGTTTGTGGGCGACCTTGCCTTGTAGTCAGCATCAGAGCGGTCGAAGGCGTAGGTACCTAAGTTGGTTTGCGTGGCCGTTTTCAATTTCACTTTGTCGCTTAGTTGAGGGAGCTGTTGAGCAAATATGATCGGAATATAATAAAGTAGCACGAGACGAGACAAGCCAATGAGCTCGCTTATGCTTCCAGGGTCATGCATTAACATTTGCCAGCACTTCAATAACAGCATAATACACTAGGGTAGGTCGATTTCGTGTGATGGATCACAAACCCCTGCTCCCCACTGCTCTTTCGATTGGTAAGTTTATTTGTATGTTGCGATGTGGATATCCTGGAGATTTTAAAAGTTATGAAGTTAAGTAACAGCAGTGGGGCGATTTTAAAATTGACCCACCCTAATGGTACACCATGTAAACAAACAAAGAACCATGCTGCGAGGTCTGACAAGTAGATTGGCTTCTTGTTCGATGGTGAGAGAGCTAGACATAGTGGCACTAACTGGCATGATGGCAACAACATAAACTGGATCATTAAAATGTGACTTTTTTTTTGACCTGGCTCATAATGCAGAGCCGAGGGCGAACATTGAAGATAGAAGATTAGATTGGGCTGAGTGATTTTTTATTGGGCCAGCACGACCAAAGTGATTTCGTCATTAGTCTTAACAAAAGCTAGGCTAATTCACTGAAAACGCTCATTTCTTCTAAAGGTACGCACATCACGCCTCTTTTTTTATCTTAAGCATACACATAAGCTGTAAACATCATATATAAAGCGGTGCATTAGATCGGAGCATTAGCAGCCTAGTAAAATGTGCACGAACAAAACGAAAACGATGTGGGATTGCCTGTAAAACACCGCTAAAACCAGCCATTCATCAGATAGGTGCCTAACTTTTGAGATCAGTAGTTTTGATGGGTTGTATGATCTCGTCGCGGAACTGTGAGCAGCATCGTAGCTGGAGCGCAACGGTTTTCACGCCACAAATAGTTTTATAAACTACTGTTTGGATGGACGAATTGATCATATCTGGACGAAGGAATGGCGGAATGTTTTACAAATGCAATGAATATGTTTAATTTTATGACATTTGATACAAAGTGGGCGATGAACTTGATTTTTTACGATAATTTCAGATAGTTATTTGGTTCCAGTGGGGGGCATCCCGAGACAGCGTTTGTTAGCAAAGGCACGGCATAATATTCTCGATTTCACTGGGCAGAAACTCATTGTACTTTGACACACAAATGGAATGGAAAGGTGCTAATAGAACCCTAAGTTGACAGCAAGCGTAAAGTTCGAAGTTGGAACGCAATATTAATGAAAATGTTGCTAGAAAATGGACCCTATTTCACCTTTCATCAAGCATTCATGAGCTCAACAAAACTCCCTCTCATACATTATTTCAATGATCCTTGAATGATCGGAATAAGAATTAAATAGACATAATGAAGTACGCGTAACAAGCGTACGGTGATGACATTCATTTCTCACAAGGTTGCTCCCCACACGTTAACCCGCCAACCAAACAATAAAATACTGCCATAAGCATTCGCCGACGCATATGGTCACGAAAATAATCCACTAACCTATTGCACAAAGCAGACTCAAGGTGCCTAAAATTATAATAAAAATAACAATCATCGGCGAAGCAATTAATAATGAGCCTGTTATAGCTCTGCGATCAAAACCAACAAGCGCTAAAATTGTTCGTCAAATTAACTCTCTTCATTGTATGTTCGGTATGTTCGAACAAATCAACTTAACATGTGGGATATTTAATTCAAATCAAATCCTTATTAAATCAATATGGCTTTGCAGGTGCATAAAAGCAGAACAATCATTAGGCTAATGAGGTTGCAAATAGGAGCATCCAAGGAGAAGTCGCTTCCGAAATTTAGATTTAATTTGATAATCAACCGAATTGTAAAAACAGAAGCAAACATTTAACATCGCCAAAGAAATCCCCAGTCGCATGCTTCTTAAACGTACTTGAACTGGAAAATTTTAGGTCAGTGGAGTGTGTCTCCCTCTACATGTTTAATCGTCGTGAAAAACGAGAAAGCAAGAAACTCCCAGTGCCAATTCTCGCTAACAACGGTGATGGTGATGGTGGTGTTTCATTTCTGCTCTTGCTCTCAAGAGGGAATCGATCATGACGACGTTGAGCGCATTCTGCAGTTTGTTACGACGTTCGGTTTCCGACTTAATCGGGTCACCGAAACTTGTTTAGAATAGACCTAGAATAGGCCCAGGCACATTTCCCGCGAAACAGATGAATTTAGGTTCCAATCGTTATTGGGTAGAGTGCTACTTCGTTCTAATCGCCTATTTCTGTTCTATAGAGTAGAAAACATCCATTATATCAATGATTTCACCGTGCACCAACCGATGAAACGTTTGTTCCGTCACTTAAGTTCAAAATCTACAACACATAGAATATAAGAGCGCATAGTAGGAATATTGACATCCATTGTTCTCAAAAACAAAAGAAGCACTCTTAGCTAATCAATTTTTCCTGCCTTCAACCGAATGATGAAGAAAATTCAATGGCGTTTCGCGTTCGATTGATTCTTTATAAAATTCAACGGTACATATGAAGAGGGAAATACATTTAGAAGTCATCTTTAGTAGGAACATTCCATTTGTTTTGCTTAAATCAGTTCGAAAAAGGGAGGGCGGAAATTAGATCGAAAACCCTAGATTCTAACCGAATAGTGTGCAAAAGATCGTGGTGAGTATTTTTCGAAGAAACGTCTTGTTTATGACTGTATCTGACCGCGTCCATTTGATGGGAATCCGTACTTGTTTCCTGGGAGGCACTGTATAGCATTTTTACATTGCATCAAACTTTGCCATTATGTGTTGTAACGTACGAATCTTCACCATAATTCAATAATGCAAAAAATTATCTCTTTTAACACCTAAACGAGAATGTGATCTTCTATCAAGGGCTGTCCATAAACAGTAGACAGTTTTTGATATATTCTAGACTCTCTTACCGGTTTGTACAAAAGATATAAATAATCAGCTATATGTATCGCCCCATAAACAGATTCTGTAATATGGGCGTTGGAACCCTTTTCAAATATTATTATAAATTAATGTCATGAAATGATTTTTTTGTTAACTAATTTATTTGATCAGGCTGAACCGAATAAACTTTACAGAGCCGAGTTTTCTCGTTCATTATACAATACAATACATCCAATAAATCTTAAACTATAATCAAGAAGTTCAATACGAAAAGCACATTATTCTCGCTATCCAATAGAGTTGGATTTGCAGGGCAAAGTGCGGAGGTGAAAAGAACTAGCGAATACAGCTCACCTCACTCGAGTGTGATACAAACGCTCTCTCTTGCGAAAGTACCAGCACCAACATGGTCTAAACCAGAGTTGATATTAGAATAATTACGCAGAGTGAAGCTTTGCATTGATGTCGATCAATGGACATGTTTTAGATTTTGGCAACCTTTGTTTTTGTTTACACCTCCGATGACTTCACCTGGGTTGTGGATGTTTCCTCTAGTTTCGATAACAATACTTCCCACGCAACAGAGTCAGTTTGTCTACTATAGAACAGCAGTTCCATTTCAAATGACGAATTTTTTTTTAATTTTTTGATCGATCTTCTACGATTATGTCGAAACTTTGCACAGTTGTTTGTTATTGTCCAACATGCCATTTTACATATTTGGTTCCCTAGTTTTGTACACGACTAACACTTGAAAAGGGCTTGTGCAAAAATGATACGCATCAATAGAAAAACATATACATATCTTGCGAACGATTTGTTTGATTGAGATGGTGTCTTCGAAGAAGTTGCGGACAAGTATTGTGCCCTTCAAAAAAAAATATAAAAAAAAAACAAAATTATCAAAAAAAAAAATCAAATTACTCAAATTGCATATTTTAAAAAAAAAATTTTTTTATATTTATTTTGTAGTTTAGATAAAGTTATACCTACTGACACTGTGCATTTGCTGGGCAAATCATAAACAAAAAATTTATGAATTATTGAAAAAATAAGTATTTTCCAAAATACTACTAATAGTTATCGAATATCTTCAAAATAGTGTTAATGTTAAAACACATTAAATTTACAACAAAAAAGCTCATAATGCTTAAATTGCCCAAAGTTGTTATTTTCGAAATACTCGTAGGTTAAAATTCACTTGTCGCATAATTTGAGCAATTTTCACTCTTTTGAGATGTTATTCGTGAGTGTTCAATCTTGAAAGTATTTTTTAACAATAAGCCCAATTAATTTCCTTAAACTTTGCTGTTCACAGTTTTTCAATCAAACGCATGAGTTAAGATATAAGCTTATCTGAATCTCAGGAAACAAATGAAATGTTTGCTGAGATTTCAGTAAAACTTTTTTTGCCGAGATTTCCACAGCCGAGCTCGGTAGAAAAAAACTTAGTGTGTAGCTATGTTTGCATGATGATTGCGCTTGATTGTATTCCTTTGTTATGTCGCCGGGAAATATCAGCTGGAATTTTGTATTTCTATGATAACTCCTTTTTTGAAACGAGCAAAAACTCTCGAGCAGGCTGCTTTTCATTGTATGCAGTGTGAACATACAATAAACAATAAATTATCTGAACATTCAGTGGAAGAACATTCATAAATTTTGGTAACATACAGAAATTCTCTAATACATATTAAATATCCTATGCAAACGCTGATCGAAACACACGTCTTCATCAGTGTCATTCCCACTAAAGAACTTAACAAAATCTAATCCCTTACACATTGTATTTTCATATTTATACCTGTGATCTTGATTTTTTTTACCTATGGGATGAGTACTAAGGGGGTTAGATTTTGATAAGTTCTTTAGTGGGAATGACACTGATGAAGACTGCACATTGT